ACTGACATTAGTACCAGTAATTCATTAATATATATACCAACTGCTTCAAGTAAATTATAAATAATGTTAATGAATTGATATAATTCACATAGTTACAGTTGCATCAAGTATTGACTCATCATCATATACTAACACAGCAACAATGTCAACTACTCCTGGACTCACTCCTACTGGTACATCATCAACTAGTACTACTAGAACTAAGTCTAGTACATTGGACTCATCATCTTCAACTATGATACCTTCCAGTACCATCAGTATCGCTACTGGTTCTAATGCTGTTCCTATTATATCAGGAGCTATTGGAACAGTATTTGTTATAATAATAATAATTATTATAGCATTAATAATAATATTGGCAATCAAGAAACAAAAAAGTAAGTGTTTATTACAGTTATTAATATTTATAATACTATATGCAGGTAAAAACAGAAAATTTAAAAAGCAAGTTATTTACATTTGTTACTATTATTATCAAATCTTACTACATCTAGTACTGATGCAGTAGCTACTCCTACATATGATGAGATCATTGTTAAACCAACTACTACTGCTGGAGTACCAATATATGATACACCAATGGAACTACAGGCTAATACTGCTTATGATGTTATTAATAAAGATATAATTAACGTACATAATAATGATGCATATGGACAAATAATGATGTGATACCCCCAGTAGCTAGAATTATAATTGCATGTATAATAATGAAAATTGAATGAAACATTGTTTGATTACTGTCTGTACAAATTGCCAGATTGATTACTAATCAAATTAATTGATTAATTCCTGTCTGCACGTTATCAAAAAATAGCATACAGTATGAAAATGAGCATAAACAACAAAGAGCAGCAATTATAATTAATTTTACCAATAAGTAATTACAAGACTACAGAATTAAAACAAAGGAGTGGTATCTCAAATCTAGGATCAGTCATTTGATAAGATGCAGATACAAGACAATTTATGGTAAAACATAAATTATTACTTACTAACATAGCCAGCACAATTGCAATTTTTGCAGTTATTATAAATCAATCACAACAATAAGAATGTATGTGTTCTATATAATTAAAGAGAAGTATCAGTTCCCTTCTCCCCTCCAACATTTGGATTCTTAAGACCTATAGTATTACCATCCTTTTCTGTGAGATATAAATGATATAAAGTTATTATGAATTAATTTTACTTGCCTTCAGAATCAAAAGTACAACAATCGTAGCAGAAGAAAAGCAACCAAAAGCCACTCCTCCAAATCTGAGGACAGTAGCATTGTCTCTTCCAACAAATCCTTAGCACAATCCAAAAAATAGACAATATAATTAATACTCCAAGTACAATAAATGGAATAGAAAATATAACAGGATTACCAATAGTGCCTAAATTAAATCATATTAAAAATGATTTTAATATTACTGTTATACTTTGTTCTGTAACAGTTACTGTTGTGAAATTGTTTACAGTATGAGTCACATTTACAACCAAATCCCCAGACAAAGCTATCAACAGAAAGAAAAATTAATAATAATAATTATGCAATGCAGCCAAGCATTATTGGTGTGGGAATAGTTAATGAACATGTCATCAACATTCAAAATTAACTTACTCTGAATATCACTTGATACACCAGCATCATTAACAATAGTTACATTATATGTGATGTTAGTATCAGATGATGACATAATATTAGCAAAAGTGACAGGTACATTTTCAGTACATGATTGTGCTTCACTACCCACTGTAATGGTACAGCTATTAATTGGAGGTTGATTAGCTCGAAGACCCTAATAATTGCAAGAGATTAATTTCTGTTGGGTGACCAAAATACTATTGTATGCATGATCACCCAAAATACAATATAGTGTATGACAAAACACAATTTAATTTTCACTGACTATGAAAACTGATAACAACTTACGAACCTGAACAGTAAAATCAGCACTATTTCCATCTTCATCAAACTTAATCACCAGCATATAATCATAAACTAAAATTTTATTTAATATAAACATTATCATAATTCATTATCTTACGTTCCCAATAATAGGTTTCTCTAAAAACACCAAGTATATTTCCAAAATAATTAAAACTGACTACTTCAAAGTTGTATGTACCCCTACTACGAAATTCATATCTGTACGATGGCTCAGTGGTCATAGCCACTAGATCTCCATTCACATTAATATTATTTTGAACACATGTAGCTCCTTCCAAAGTTATATCAGCATTATCATTAAATTGGTTATATTGAAGGTCAATAGACTTGCCTGGTACTGAAACTAAAATAAATAATATTATTTGTACAAAAGTTTTGTGATTTATCTTGTGCATAATTCGTGCATGCAAATTATAAATATAGTAAAGAATTGTTAATGTTAACATAATAGAGCAAATTACAAATTATAGGTTAGGTAGAGCAACAGTACAAAATATGAATGGAGGTTGGACAACACCCACGCTTCTGTTTCTAATCCCTTTCATTTACA